CTGGGCTCGGCGGACGGCGGCTCGGAGCAGAGCAGGAGCCGCCCGGGCGCCGCGGCCCCCGCCGGGGGCACCCCGGGAGCCTTCAAGCAAACCAAAGCCCAGAGGGCCAGGACTATGGCTCTGTACAACCCCATCCCGGTCCGGCAGAACTGCTTCACCGTCAACAGATCCCTCTTTCTCTTCGGGGAGGATAACGTGGTGAGGAAATACGCCAAGAAGCTCATCGACTGGCCATATCCTTTCCCCGCGGGCCTGCGTGTCCGGGCTGGCACATGGCCGGGGCCTGAGCCCAAGCCGGCAGGGGCGTGCGGCGGCGGCTCTCAGGTAAGCGCCTGCCTTCTGCTTCCCCGCCAGCTCCCGCTGGGCCCCTCTCCCCCGCCGGCCTGGCCTGGGCTCGTGGCTCCTGGGCTGCGCCGCCCACCCTCGCCTCGCCTCGCCTCGCCTGTCTCTTGCCCGGGCCGGGGCGTCTCTTGGGAACAAGGAGCGGCGCCGGGGGTAGGATCACGCCGGTGCCCGCGGGGACCTCACCAACTCCGCAGACTAAGTTTTACCTCCGCCATCCTGGCGGGGCTGGCGGGCGGGGGAGGGCTGGTTCGGTCCCCACTCAAAGCTGAGCTCCTCAGCACCAGCTTAGGGACCCAGGCCTGGTCCCCCGCTTAGAAGTGGCTGGTCCCCCCCATGCCTTGATGCACCTCTGTTCCGATCCGAGCCGCCGCAGAGCTGGGCTGCGGGGGGGTGGGGATTGTGGCCCACTCTGCTGGGTGCCTCGTTTCCCTCCCATGTGTCCTTCATTCCGGGCGCTGCCTGCCCTTCCCCGTGCCCTGGGCTCCGAGGGAGGCGAGCGACCGTGCTGGGGAACAGGCGCTGGCGCACTTGTGGCCCGGGGACGTGCTGAGCTTTCCTGGCCGAGCCCCTCCCCCCGTTTTGGGTGAAGCCCAGCTTTATTGGGTGCGGGGGGGAGTGTCGCCAGGTGATCGTCCCTTGTTCTGGGCTCAGCGTCTCAAGGAGCTCAGCTACTAGCTGCCCCC